ATTCCTGCTTCCTCAGCTCACAAACAAACACACACGAAGTTAAGCTACGAACGGCATTGTAATACAGTTCCACGGAAATGAAATGAAATTGCTGGAAGTTCTGACCTTCTTCGTGGAAGTAAAGCGTTCCACTTCCAACACACGCACTCGAACAGGACATCCCGTGAGGTACGCCTGCGTGCCCGGCTCCTTGAACCCACGGGTGTGATAGATGGCAGAGAAGGGAATGCACACTAAAAGGACCACAAACCCTGTTAGTTCAACGACCTCGTAACCATCAATGAGGGCATGAAAGTCAGCAGATAGTTGCAGTACTTTAACACAGGAGCATTTACACAGCAGCATTAACTCCACTAAAATACACCAGGTTTTATTTAAGAGAGCTTAAAGACAAGCTTTCGCAGAAGGGACTTGACTTGAAGAGCTCAAGTGCTAAGAGTAATGCCTCCCGGTCCTAAACCAAGGCCAACGGCCTTGGGTAGAACCTCTGAGGTTCTACCCTATCTGTCAACAGATTATTGCTTACTAAATCCAGGCGGGACGCAGGGTGAAAACATATGGGTGTTAACTCACCGGCACCTTTTGGGTCATTTAGCACCTCCGCGTCAACCTCCTCCCCCTCGAAATGGAGCTCCCTGGTGTCCAGGCTCTCGATGATGTTGCTCATGTCTGCAGCGATCTTCTTCAGCGTTGATGTAGCTGCATGGCTTTCGGCTCTCAGTGACATCTCAGGGACCCGCGCACCGGGGCCACGGGGGGCTGGGGAGGAGGAAGGAGCAGGGCTGTCATCACCCCCTCCGCAACACCTCAGCACGGCTGAGGGAAACCCCCGGCAACGCGCGACACCCTCTTCCCTCCAGCCCCTTACCCACATCCATCCCAACTATCCCCATCCAACACACCCGACACCAAACACCCATCCCTGCAGCTACAGGGGACCACTGCCCAGAGCAGTGAAAAAGCACAGGTAGCCTCAGGCTACAAGAGAAAACCTCCCCTAATGCCAGTGACCACAGGACTCATACACTCCGGTTGTACTTTCAAATGGAAAATACATGATATTTCACACTCCAGCTACAAAAACCTGCAGGGCGTTGGCTGTGGCTTAGGAGTACTTTTGCATATTGATTCCAAAGGGAAAGCAAGGAAGCTTCTGCATCAACTCGCCTCATCATCTCAGCCACCTCTGCAATAACGACGATGCGCCCGAAAAAGGACAAAGCATATTAACGTCTGGCCAAATCCTGGACT